AAAAAAAAAAAAAAAAAAAAAAAGGAGACGGATTCAAAGATGAGCAGTGTGACGGGCACTTGTACTCTTTTGACTTGCTTTCTGTATGCATAACTAAATAACTTCAAATTTATGGTAGTTATATAAAATTCTAATTAACCATTACAACCAATATCAAATATAAGACTATTCTAGTGTCATTGATTTGAAATTTTTAATTGGTCCCGCATATTGTAATGTTTTAGTGGATTTGGAGAAACAAAGAAAACAAAGATGTGAATGCGCATGTTGTTATTTGTGGTGAGAAAGAAGCCACAGCTTCCACTAAGCTCCTATCAAATTGCACATTAATCATTCAAGCAAGTTTAGGTACTAGTTCCATCAACAATTCACTACATACATAACATGACCCATTCTTCTCCAACTTTTCTCCTAATTGGTGGTGCTAAGAATCTAATTTTTTTGCATTTATAATGGAAGTATCTTTATGACTTAGTACTCTATAGACTTTTTCATAGATTTAGAGCAGTCCCTTCATTATATTTATAACCAAAAATATAGTTGAACTTGATGTATCCAAGTATTGGTCATTTTCTTAAAACTAGTTTTATATTTAGTTATAGTTCGAGTTACAGTTTACTTATTATAACTATACTCTACACCACTCAAGTCTAATTTTCTAATCTTACCTACTTTCCTCTCCATTGCACTTTTTTATTTTATTTTTAATTTATGCATTTGATATTTAAAAGCTCGCTATCAAATTAATTCAAATTTGCTACAAGTCTAGGTAGGAGTCACTAAAGGGATAAAGTTACATGAAGTCTTCTTCATTCTCAATGCTAGAAATAACATATCTATGGTTAAAAGGCATAGAGATCGCATCCCTAGTGTTTGGATATGATTTAGCTGAAGTTTGAATAAAAAAGTATTTGAAATTAAAGAACATTTGATAAGTAATAATCTAGTTCCATCCAAAAAGAAAACAAATGTGTTAGGCGCTTAACCTATAATTACTACTTTTAAATAAATCTTAGTAATCTAGTTAGTTAGCTCCGTGTACTTTTACTTTTTTGGCTAAGTTTGATTACCCACATTGTATTACCCTTCCCATCACCAATTTATATTTATAATTAAAAAAAATTATAAGATAATTAGTAATTCCAAGATCCAACATTTTGGTCATACTAATAATAATAATAAAGAAAGGATGAAAAGAAGAAAACATCCGTGCAAGTACAAATGTCTACGTATCATCAACTACTCTCCAATACTTTTCTCCTCCAACCTCTTCTCTCTCTCCTGCATAATCTGAAAACCTGTTTCAGAGATAATCTAAGTAAGAACAAACAGACAAAATCAAATACAGAGAAGATATATAGGCGATACTTATTAGGAACTCAGTTTTTACCTTTCAATTGTAATTTGTAATGGAGAGGCTTATCTTTACCAATTCTTCACTTCCCTCGTCTAAACTCCACCACCTTAAGCCCTTTCCTCGTCTTCCCCAACTCCAATTCTCCGTTCCAAAGTTCCAAACTCTGCCCTCCCTAAAACGTGTTGAGTATCGTGGGTCCAATTCTCGTTCTTGCAAATGCATTCATGACCAGTTTTCAACTTCTGGTTCGTCGTCCCCTTCTTCTAGATTTAATGATGGGCTTGTGGGTTATTCGTCTACATCGCAGGATTTTCCAGATGGGTCGGGTTCGAAGCCCCATTTCCTCAAATGGGTTGCTGAAACTCTGTCTCAGCAACATAAGGTACTGACATTAATCATTTTTGCTTTTGCATCTGCGTTTCATGTCTTCAATTTTGATGTCACTTTATGTTTTTGGTACATGTTATAATTGCTATCTGAATTTGGTAAGGCATAACGGGTAAAGTTGAGCTGGTCAAAATACAAAATGTTAGTTCTGCTGTTTTTTATTTTTTATTTTAATGTTAATGGACCTACAATATTAGAAATTTCACTTTACAACAACAACCACCCAATGTGCATCAATCCCAAGCAAGTTGCGTCTAAATTCCACTTTACCAGGGAATATTGATTCTGTTATAGTTTTCCAAGAAAACTGGTTTCCAATATAGATGTAGCTTTGCTCGATGGTACAATGTGTGTCTTGTGCTGCTATGTATTTGCTGTTAATTTCTAGTGGGGCTTTTTTGCTTTCATTTACTACTGACTTAGAAGGGGAGCCTTAGCAATACCGTATAAGTTGTCGCCATGTGACCAGGTCACGGTTCAAGCCGCGAAAATAACCTCTCTTAGAAATGCAAGATAAGGATGCGTACATAAGACCCAATGTGGTCCGGCCCTTCCCATGATCCCACGCATTGCGGAAGCTTAGTACACCGGGCTGCCCTTTTATTTGCTATTGACTTGTATTTTTGGTAGAGTTGTATCTAATTGATGATTAATGCACAATATACTAGTTTCTCGAATTTTATACTACATAATTTTGCTTGTTTCTTTTGTTTTTGCAATTGATGTGGAGTCTAGAAATCTTTCTTCTAGAACAACGAGGTTCTATCAGTTTGGCTTTGACGGTACCAACCTTTTCTTTAACTCATTGGCACCATGATCAATACTCAAGAGTATGTTTTTCTCCAAGTGAAAGTTGTTACCTTTATCTTCTTGAACTAAGCTCTGGATACTGCCATTTCACATCCTATATGATTACCAAATTTAGGTGTTTAAAAGTGATTTAAAAGATGAGGTAACGTAAAATATAGTTGTCTCTGAGGAAAACAAAAGTAGTTAACGTTGGACTTGGAACGTGACACTGGTGACCTGATATACCATACTTGATCTTAGCCAAAAGGCCGAGAAAAGTGGATAGGTCCAGGAATGATAACGTTACATAGGACGAGGACACGGACACCAACAGTGCTACTCTCCACAAATGACTCTAGGTTATTCGTTTCTGGCAGCACAGTTTGCAGGTTGCAGACCTGATCAGCAACTGCTAACTGCAGCCATTGCTGGTGACAGCAGTAAGGGATAATACTAAAAACAGGGGATGAATAGTACAGGAGTTGCTAGTGCAATTGTTGTCTTGTTCATGTGATGGCAAGGATTGGTAGGTTAACTCAAGTTTGGTTATTCATTTCTCTGATATCCATTGTAGGAAGTAGAAATTACAGTGCCTATTTTCAAAAGGGCTGATTTTAGGGCAGTGTTTGTTTAAGTGATTAAGGCCCATTTTGTACTAGAAGACAAATGGAATCTCATTTTCTTTTCTTTTTTCTTTCTTATAAGGGAAGGTTTTATTAGCTGAGTACCAGGATGGTACCATAAAATTACACACAACTGCTGGGAATATCCATGCAGTCAGCTACAGCATTTCCCTAACAATTCCAAGAATTCCATATATCGATCAATGTTGTCTATGAAACTACTTTTACACCAAAGAAACAAACTAAGCAAACACTTGTTTTTGAATCTTGGAATCTGATCTTTCTGCCCATCAAAACAAGCTCTATTTCCCTCTAGCCAAGGTATTTTGACTTGTTATTATGTCTACAAGCTACTAATATAAGTATGATGAATTGGCATTTTGAACTTGGATTTTAGATATCGTCTACTTCCACTTAGTTAATTTCAAAAGAATCTGCCATCTAGTTCGGAATTCTTCACCTTGTATCATTTAAGAAATTTAATTTGGAAAGAATTACCCTAAAAACATAGGAACTAGCACTCTTGTTTATATTAGAGTTATATTAGTTAAAATAAAAGGCAACCTTACTGAACCATTCTCTTCATGCAGAAGAAGCTAACTTTTTCTGTTGATGATTGACCTCTTCAAAGGAAGAGCGAGTACAAAATGCAATTCAAAGCACTAGTTAAAAGAACAATTTGGTGTGGAGTTTCTTTATGTCTATTACTTTGAAATCACAAAGCTGCAAACACATTTTTTGTAGCCTAAAAATATCCTTTTACAGTGTTTGCATTTACAGAAATTAAACTTAACTAAGAAAGCAAGAAGAAAAATATTCCTGAATATAAGAGCATTAAGGATTCAGCCAGCAGTATATATTGAATGATTAGTTGTTGCTGTGTTCATCAAACTGGACACGCTGTTGTTAATGTTTTAAATCTAGATGTAGTTAATTCATATTTTTACATGGAAATGTTTCATTTTCAACAACCTTGCGCTGTTTATGCAGAACTAGACCTTCTGCCTTCTTGCTATTTTTCATCTCTTTTGCATGCCTGAGTTTCAAGTATTGACGGAAGTATAGATGACCATAATAAAGAGCTTTTAGCATTAATCACCAGATGGACTTGCTAAAAGAGTTGTTTTAACCACTGGGATGTTAAACCTGGAGATAAGTAGAGGTTTTCAATGTTACATTGAACTTCATTATTATGCCTGCAGCAGCACACAAGGAAACTGAGTAGGAAAGAGCCATTCATGGTCCATGCATTATATTTGCTTCTATGAGACACATTGTTATCAGGAAAAAGCATCTATTGCATTATGCGGCGAATTATTTACATCTGTCAAAAGAAGACACTTACGTTATTCTCGTCAACATGGCTTATGATTCCTTTCAGGTGGTTTCTGCAAGTACAGTAGTCCTACTCTCAGCAATGCTGGTTATGCTTCTCCACCCGCTCATTGTTTCACCTGCTTTTGCTAGTTTTCCGGGTGCAGCTAAGACTGGGGGTCCAGCTGCAGCAGCAGTGGGAAGTCAACTCGTACGTAATGAACTACTAACAAGCGCATGGGCTGGTTTCTTTGCCGGTTGCCTTCACACCCTGTCAGGTCCTGACCATCTTGCTGCTTTAGCACCTCTCTCAATAGGCCGTACGCGGATGGAGAGTGCGGCAGTTGGAGCCCTCTGGGGCTGTGGTCATGATGCTGGACAGTTGATTTTTGGGCTGTTGTTTCTTCTCTTAAAGGACCGACTCCACATTGAAGTTATTCGTACGTGGGGGACGAGAGTAGTTGGCTTCACTCTTCTTGTCATTGGAGCGATGGGAATTAAGGAAGCATCTGAAGTTCCTACTCCATGTGTTGCCCTTGAAAATGGTGAGTGTGATGTTAGTGTATATGAAGGCATTGACACCCCCGTCGTCGGGAAGAAGAAAAAGATAGGCTTGGCAACTTTTGCCACTGGAATTGTCCATGGGCTGCAACCGGATGCACTGTTGATAATCTTGCCGGCACTTGCTTTGCCTTCACGCACGGCTGGTGTTGCCTTCTTGTGTATGTTCTTGGTCGGTACTGTTATAGCAATGGGAAGCTATACCGTCTTTATAGGCTCGTGTAGTCAGGCACTGAAGGATAGAGTTCCTAGAATAACCGAGAAGCTCACTTGGGCTTCTTCTCTAATAGCAATAGGCTTAGGTCTTGCAATTATCATCAGTCAATTTTTTGGTTTTAGCCTGTATTAGTTGGAATCCGGCGTTACATTAGTTTACATTCAGTATTAGGGGATGTCATTTGATGAGGATATCATTCAGCGGGGTGGATTGTAACATTCACAAGTTATGAGTTATATATATTATAACAATTTGAAGATTTTCTTCAGCTTGTGTGGTCTACGAGTTCTAAGTGATTTGTTGATTCACTTGCCATTTTCTTAAGAAAACTGTATGTTTTGTTGGAAAATCATGTCGAGTTGGACCACATAAAAAGTCCTTATTGTGGTTGAGTAGTAGAAACCTCAGCATTTTTAAGGTTTCACAGTAGTTCTTCCCTTGATTCCAAAGTCCACATTTCTCAGTTTAATGTGTGGTGTAAAAATGAAATGGTCAGCCACATTAAAATGAGCTTTGTTACAAGTTTTTGTGTCTTTGTGGCTAAGCAACATTACATTCTCTATTTAAATCTGTGGAGATTTATAGTGGCGTTCTCAATTTTGGTACATATGCACACAGCCATAATTCGTTGCGATAAGGACTAATGATTCGGATTAGTCGTAGAGAATTGAGCTCTATTTCTGATTCAGTTAAAACAAACTATTCATTCAAAGGTTTACAAAGTGTTTGTAGGACTACAACTTTTCCAAAATCAAACAATGTTATTTCATCGTGCAACAAAACTTCTTTTAATATTCCAGGATTAAATTTGAGATAGTTTATCCCACGTTTGGTTGGGATAAAATCGCGATATAACTAATCACATGATTAGTTATCCCACGATTGTAATGTTATTTTTATCCCTATGAAAAGGTGGGATATCAATCTCGGAATAACTAATCTCGGGATAATTAGTCTTGGGATAACTTGTTTCCCAACCAAACGACCCCTAAGTTCTCAAGTACAAATCCTAGCAAAAGAAAAAGAATACTTAAAAAAATAAAGTATGTAATCCTAGCAGAAAAATAAATTCTAAGTAAGTAATTACGTCCATCGGTCCAAGCCTTGATGTATACAGTTATATGATATATATGCATGTGATAGCAAATACCTTATGTAATTAGTTGAGCTGCGTACAAGCTGGTTCAAATACTATCTATATATATGTTATTATTATAAAAGTACGAATGTTTCACGCTAAATGTTGAATGACCAAAATATTCCCAAAATGTTGATCGATTTTTATACCTTTAAATATTTGTCTAATCAAGCAAGTTAAAGGTGAATATAATTGTCATTAACCACAATTTTGATTTTATTGGCATCTTTGGATCGAAGTAGAAGATTCCGTGTTTGTCAAGAAACCATTTTTCTAATGAGTCTCAATTCTAATAGGATATCATTGCATCGTTGATGGACATTCTCTATCCCTATTAGCAGATTCCTTTTTTATTTTTTAATACGCTTTCTCTCACAAATTGTTCAAGACGTAATACATGGACGAAATTTCTTTTTTATCATCATGATTTTCAACTTCATATATTCTTTATCTCCAGAAAGATGATGTTTTCATCTTCAAGTTATTAAAGTTATTTCTCTATCTTGGATTTTGCCTTTTAATCCTTTTTTAATTAAAAAAAATCATGTTTTACATCTTTAGATAATAAAGTAATGTGTGTACATTGATTAGTTTCTTCTTTTCTTTTTCTGGATGCATGATGTTTCACGTTTGGTGATAATTTTTGTTGGTATTTTTAATATTTTGACTATATTTGTGAATCCCAAATCATAGGAAGAATACCAACAAATAGAACTGTAGATGGATTGCAAGTGCACGAGCATTATCTAATGAAAGGCTGAAAGTCATTACTATTATATACTTCAAGCATCAGATATCAAAAAATATGACATACGACGATATTTTAGTGTCGGTATAAGTCACATAAATGTCACAAAATCAGTTACTGATATTTATTTTATACTTAATTTAAATGTCAAAAATTTCGATATTTAGATTAATGTCGGCAAATAGTTTGTGACAATTAGTTACGACATTTATCTAATGTCAATAATTTGGGTTCTTAACCTATCTTTTTTGCGACGGATATATAAATATCGTTAAATTCTTTATAGTTTTTGACTAATAATATGAATGTGAAGAATTATTTGTCACGGATAAAGATTTAATTAAAGATATTTTTATATTAAAAGAAATCAATAAATTAACAATAATCTATTCACAATAACATCAATTCTTATTTCAATACTTTCAGTATATTACAAACAATTTGAATCAAATACATAGTTACTTCACATACAGCTAATGGTAGTATGAAAATTTATCTGCCTTACAACAACAACAACAACAATAATAACATACTCAGTATTATTCTATACTGTGGGGTCTGAGGAGGATAGTGTGTACGCAGATCTTACCCTACCTTGTGAGAATTGAGAGACTATTTCCAACAGACCCTCGGCTGCCTTCTGAAATTGAAAGGATATATTATGGGAAGAAAGAGAACAAGTTCCTCTCGGAGTATGGAATAAGTGTTTCAAGTCAAACCGGTTAGAAGAAGATTACATATTCTGTTTTAACATTTTTAATGGTATGATAATAGGAATCATATCACATTGTCAGTATAATTCGCTGCTAACAAAATCATATGAAACTATACTAGCAGATATGTTTTATGTTAGTAAAATTCTAATCACCATTAAATCTACTATGAATTGGCTATAATACTTATCGCATGTTTGTTTCGGAGACTAAAATCTTTCTAGGCCAAGTTAAAGACCCAAATGTTCGTGCACTCTAAACATGTGTGTACAAATACAAGAGAAACACAACGCGCAATTATATAATATAGAATATTTACAAACATATATGCTTATTTTTTCCCAAAAATCACAAAAAACTAACTTAAGATAATAACTTAATACTAATTGGATGGTAAAGTGACATTGTCTTAACATAATAACGCGAAAACGTATTTAAATGAAGTTATAAGACGACATATTTTTCAATATTTTAACCATTAGCGAGAGATAAACGTGCATAGATACTAGTTATTATAAAAGTACAAATAATTTATGCTAAATGTTGAAAGACAAAAATATCCCTAAAATATTAAGGAACTTTTATGCCCCTCAGTATTAAATATTTCTCCAAAAGAAATTATTCCACATCGGATAGAATTGTAATAATAAGAATTTGTACATGATACACACTAGGATTCATATTCTTCAACGAAGTTATTTACTATCAGGATTCATATCACAAATGCTTATAAGACGTGTTTAGTAACATAGTCACAGAAATTTATGCCAGAATATTTATGGGGTTACCAAGAAAAAAGAGTTGTGGCTGAATATAAAAAAGATTCAGTGCCAAGGAGTTGTTTGAGCTTCGGTAATAGTTTCACTTTCAAAAATATTCCAGTGCTTCATATCATTCTCTACTTCCGGTTGTGTTTGGTTGAGTTGGTTGAGTTCTATTTATTTTTTTCTATCGGATGTATGTGAATATAAACCTATGTGACTACATACTATATAAACGCAAGACTCTTATCTGTTGAAGGTGGGTAGGTTGCGTTGGGTTCGGTGTATATGAACATAACATGAATGTAAATATACTTAAATATATTAGTTTTTGTAAGTTTTATGTGCGGAACCTTAATTGGAAGAGATGATTCTTCGTCGAAAGATAACAAACGGACAAATTAATATGAGAAAATATTATTTTTTGTCTATGAAGATTACGATTTGCGTTTAATTTCTTTTTGTTTGTGTCTTTGGTTCTGCAGAAAAAATTTGGCAAATATCGCAAGTGCACTTGATGGCAATAGGCAAAGACTCTTTTAATAGTATGGAGTTGATCATGATTTTTAATTGCCAAAATTTTATACTCGGCTATTTTTTTACAAGTTTGATTTCCTTTGCTGCTAATTAAGGAATTTTTTTACTGTAAAGTATAGTGTTCAAAATTTATTATCACTTCTGGAAAAAGAAAAAGAAAAAAATTTCTCGTCACTTTATGAATATGATTTTGCCATCTTAAAGTCTCTAAAGGTTTATGTATTTTTAATAGGTATAAAAAAATTGAACCAGTTCTGGCCTTCCTCTAATGAGTAAAGTCCCTTAATATTTTAGGGACTTTTATGCCCCTCACAGTTCTTAAATTATATTTGTGAAAGAAAGTTTGGTAGAGATCTACTTGGTTAATTTTTGCATTGTAGCACCTATATTTGATTTAAAACTTATCTTACCAAATAATAAGACATTGATATTGTCAAAATAAATATGTTCTTATTTATATATTATTATTTAATATTTCTTATAAAAGCAATTTGATCGGAGTTAAGTCTTTGAAAATCCGGCTATAAGTCGGGAGTACTCATGCATTTTTCCTAAAAATATAGTATAAATTCATGCATCTCAAGTTGAATATTTATTTATTTTATGAAACTGTCAACCATGGTCTATTTAGTATATGTGTTTAAATAATTGTCATGGTCATATTTGTTGCATTCGGCACAAGAGGGGGTAGAAAGAGGACACATCATGTATGTGTAAGGTATAATAGATCAATAGCAACCGATGATGCTAAGCTTGAGGGTCTTTGAGTCCAAGTGAAAGTAAAACTCCAATATGTAATTTATCAGTTTTTCATGTGCTTTACACAATTCAAATAATCGGATTAATGAGATATCATTAGCATTGTGGTCACAAACAAATACATAACCGACGGAGAAAATTTATATTAAATTCTTTTGACACTATTTATTCGTTCTGTGTTCATTAAACCAAAACTAAAATACATAATTAATCGAAACCAATAATCGGTTGACTCAAATATTCTTAATAACATAACTGGGAAGGAAAAGGAAAAATAAGGAAGAAAACAGAGAGCCGGTGAATTATAAGGCTAACACTGTTTGTCCCCTTACCTTTAAAAATAGTTTTGACTTAGACAAAATTGTTGTCCAATTGTTTTTTCTAATATCTAAGCTTTAAAATTAACTAATAAAACTTTTAATACTTAAAAATTTAAAATTGAATTATACAATCCCTTGCCTTATATTTTGAACTTTGAAATTGACTAAACTTATATAAATAATTCTATAATTGAAAGTTAATTGATTCATCAATATCAAAAAAGGATATCTTATGCGTTGAATACTCTGAAATGAAAAATCTATAACACAAATGTTATGAGGAGATAACCATGTTAAGGAAATGCGTAACAAATATAAAAAAAATTAATAAAGCTCCTATCTATATTGCTATCAAGTTAGTCAACTTTTAACCAATTTTAATATAATAACTTGAAAATATATCTACTCGAAACAGATTTCATCCTTTAATTGTGCTAAAACTTTATTAATGAGTGGTTTGAATTATATATATATTATATTTTTTATTTTAAGAAACTAATTATTGAACTTCGTACATATTTACTAACAAGCAGTTTATGGAGTTAAAAGTTTATTACTTTTCGTATGTGCTTAATGTTTGGCTAAGATATTTCGTGCATCGCACGAACATATAGACTAGTATTATATTAAAAGCACGAAAGCCTTTAGCGAAATATCGTTCGCTTTTTTTACCCTTTTAAAACAGATTTCACATTGGACAAAATTATAATTTAAAGTATATTCCTAATATTTAGTATTTTGAATCAACTAAAATTTGGGTTATAAAATATGTTCTTACTTGAACTAGGTAAAAAATCGTACAATATTTAAAAATAAAATCAATAATAATTTTTTTTATAGATTCAATTCTTATTTGATCTATCAAACGTAATCATATAATTTATTTCATGGTACTTTTTCCCAATCCTAATATTTAGGTGTTTTCACGTTACTTTTCCTTTTTTATTTTTCTTTAAAAATGAACCTTAATACTATTTATACTATGGAATCGAAATATTACTTAATTAAAACTCGAATATATTTTGAATGAAACATAATTATATTTATATTAAGACAATATTGAAACATTTACGTTAAAACAATATCAAACAAACAAAAACATTTTATTTATCTTGATAACTTTGAATATAAAACTCATACATCAAAATAATTATTAAGGCAATCGATAACTTTTGCGGGACATGATTTATATCTTGATTGAGCTAACTAATAAATAGGATCAACATTAATTATTTTCAAGAACTTATATTTTTATTTAATTTTTATGTTATAATGTAAATAAATTATTCATGTAATTTTTTATATTTTTATATTCATTGATATGGATACACGGAACTAGTTATTATAAAAAAAAAACTCAGAATATAAAAACAACAATAGGACCCGTAAAGAAACATCTTAGAATTTTGTAAATGTGGACAAATATTTCGATGGAACACTTTCTAGAAGAGCTTTTGGCTATATTCACGAAACTTCAACAAACGATTATTATCTAAACACTTCTTATTTTGTACGACTTCTATTTTTCTGAAAGTTGTCCAAGGACATCACACTTGTTTACACAAAAATTAATAGAAATATTCTCTGAAATACAAATTGTAATTTAAATAGTGAGTAATACTTCATTAATTTTATCTAAAGTAAGGGAAATCAAAATTCAGAGAATCCCGTTTTTTCTTCGTAAGAAAGGGTCAAAAGAGTAACGTTGTGGGCCCACTTTTCACGGGAATATAGACAAAACAGGGCCGGCCTAGTACACGCTATTGGATCAGTTTTGAAAGCCCAATTTATGTATGACCCCAAATCAAGTCCACTCCCACTTTTAGGCCGTACACTGCGCACTGTGCAACACGTAATTAGGATTTCTTCTCCACAAACTGATTTCGCTGACACTGCTCCCAACAACTCCCTTACCTCACTACTAACGTAACCTTCAATTTAATACTGTGCTGCCAAAATTTTCATTTCCAAAGATTTTTTATTACTCGTATACTGTATATATTTATTATATTTCAATAAACTAAACTATTAAAAGAAATATTAACCTAAATAGTCATTCATCTCTCGATATATAATTTACGTATACCGATAAAAATAATAATAAATTCAACCAGCGATTTGTTAAATAATCCAATTTAAAGGTAGAATAGGACAACCTTGTAGATAAAAACGTCATTGGAAAAAATACTTACAAGCAAGGATTAAAAGTTTTATTTCTATGAAACGGAAAAATTTTAAGATAATAAAAAGTGAAAAGTACAAAAAAAAAAATGAGAAGAATTTAAAAGATCCTAAGTCTGAAAAAAAGTGTTAGATGATTATCAGGGTAAGTGATAAAAAGACAAAACAAGACGGGATAAGTAAAGTTATTTTGTCCATCGGTTTACAAGAGTTAAGTAAATAAATAGTGATAGCACAACAGTCATTTTAAGAGATATTCCACTTTTCAAATCACTTCTTCTCATTTGACGCTTCTTTTTATCTTTGTACCGACGTCCCTTTATTCACGTCATTGCTTTAATAACATTAATAACTTATATAGATAATAGATCTCAAAAAATTTATACGTTTACAATTATGAACTAATTAAATTTAAGAATATGATAATCTTATTCGACTAATTATAGTCATGATTTTTAATATGGTGTATAAATCAAGTTAAAGTCTCTGACACTGGACCCAAGATTTCCCATCCATCGTATTATTACTCGCAGGCCTATGTAACGTACCAAAGGAAAGTTGAAAGCCAAACTAAGCTTTTATTCTGTCACTTTATCCATGCCAAATTTTAGTAAAACTTTAATCATAATTTTGTTCGGACTCTTCATTTTCAATGTTATACTCGTGTTATGTCGACACTATGTAAATATGGGTATGGTTGTGAGTGTGGGTGTAGGCCAGAAATCCGTATGAGTCTTATCAACCAATATTAGGTACTTTGGCCAAAATCAACAAAAAAATTCGAGACATATAATATTTTTTTTGAAAAAGAAAAAAAATAGGGTGAAACTAAAAAAAAAACTTGTATATAGAAATTTTAATGTCAGTCCTTCTCCATTTGTCTTCTTCTCAGATTCTCTTCTTGATTAATATATTTCCCTTTTTGCAATACCTTATAAGTTTTTCATGTATTTCTAATGTCTCATAATTTAGATATATTTGAATAATTTTAGTTGAATCCCACCCGCGTCCGCACTTGATCCATATCACTGAATTCAAAACTCAAGATCATGAAGTATACGAGCTCTAGATACACGCTTGTGTTCCTGAGGTCTAGTAAAATCCAATCCAACTAACTGAAGAATTGCTCAAAAAAAGTAACGGGTTGTTTGGTATGATGCATTAGGTAAAATAATATATTTATTAGCTTTGTATGTTAGTAATACTTTGTTTGGTACATTTTTTGAACATAACCATTAATTATGTAAGCATTAGTTATACACCCTATTTGATATTATCCTATGCATAATTAATGCATAAGAAATTAACTATGGTATTAACAATGCAATGGGTTTTAATGCATGCATTAACTTAGTTAAAGACAAAAATATCCTTTAAAATTTATACTTGATTAAAATATGTTATTATATAGTACACATTTAAAATAATCCAAGAAAGTGAAAAATAAAATGATATCCCTAGTAAATAAATAAACACTTAGTATATCTTCTTTTTTATAAATAAATATTAAGTTCTATACAACAATATAGTTTGACAAATCAAAAAATTTATTTAAACCTTTTTCATATACAAATATTTCTCAACATATGTTTCTTTTAAAAAGATAAAGTGATGGACTGATTATGAGAGTATTTTTATAAACAAACAATTCTTTTAGAAATTATACAATTCTTTAATACATCAAACCAAACAATGGATAAGAAATATGTGAGCATAACTAATATCAGTATTACTAAAATACTCTATTCATCACTATTCTTATACACTCTACCAAACGATCCCTAAAAATGATAAAGTTTCCTTTTGGTTTTTAAAATTTAAAAACAATTACTGGAGTTCTTGTACAAGAGAACTGGTGAGTGAAAGCAGGGCCAACCCCATACTGAATACTGACATATTGCTATCAACCTTTCTGTCACAGTTCCACCAACTTACTTACACTAAAAAACGACTGCTATAACCATATATGAATAATCAAATCACTGTAAAAGCAAAGAATTAAATCCCACCAAAAAAGGTAAAAAGTAACATCTACAAGAAAGGTAAAAAAAAATAAAAAAAAGATGCTCATTTTCTGTACACTATTACAGCAGTAACTACTCATATCACTTTGTTCATTTCATCGAGGGATTTCGTCAAAAAAGTACACCAAAAAAAGATCAAATGAAATCCCCCTGACAAAAGGGTTAAAAACAACACAAAAGAAATTAATGAATTTACTAATGATGTTTTTCCAGTTTTCACCTATTATTGTCAAATCAAAGCCTCAATGCTTGCTTTTTTCGCTATTCCACAAACAGGACATTGATTAAGAAAAGAATCACAATCTTTGCAGGTAGAAAGGTGTCTACACGGCAAGAAAATCATGCACATTTTACGAGAATTGCACCTTTTGCACTTCATTTTTCTTGTTTGTTCTTCTTCCCCATTTTCATTATCATCACCAAAATCACAGCAAGATTCTGCATCTTCTACTGCTGCACCATTTGCTGATGTTAAACAATAAGCACCACTTTCTCTTAATTGTTCGATTGTGTTGTTTAGTGAAATGACAACAGCTTCGTTATCTTGAGCTATTTTCTGCCATGTTTGGTTCTCTATTTCCATCTTTTGTAAAAAATCTTCCAACTCTTTTGTCCTGTTTGCGGCCCTAGCGATTTCTTCGTCTTTCTGTTTTAGCAAAAACTGCACTTTTGCTTCGTATTTTCTCCAGATCAATGCCAGCTGTTGCTTTCTTTGCTCGTTTAAAACCAATCTCAATCGTTCATTCTGTTATTACAAAAATCAATCGTTTAATTTCTGCAAATAAAACATGAACGAACAAAAATTTTGATAAAATCAAATACAAAAAGAAAAAGAGAAAAGGAATATACAGAATCACAAACCTGTAAACTTATGAAGTGATCAATCTCAATACTCTGTTTCTCAAACTGGGACGCTATACACTGAGAAAATGGCATTGATTCAGTAACGTTGTTGTACTGTTTTGGAACAATGTTCATCAAATTCTGATTGTTTTTCTGCGGCAGAATTTGCAGAAACGGCTGCTGTTGAAGGTGTTGTTGCTGCTGAGGACTAACAGAAAACTGATTAAATCCACAACCATTCTCCATCAAATCTTGCGAAACCCCCAAAGGAAAACCAAAATTATCTGTATATAACTGCGCTTGAATAGCCATATTTTTTCACCACCAAATCAGCTAAAAAGAAATTTGTTGTGTTGTGTTTCTTCGTTTAAAGGTAGGGCAAAGATGTTAATAAAAAGGGAAAAAAATACATTGATGGTGGGGACAAGAAGAGGTGTATTTTATCTTACTTTGAATCTTTGGTCCGTTCTTCTGTCTTTATAATATGGTGAATAATTTGCTTTTCGTTTATTGAAACTGAAAACCTGAAAAAGGGGCAGAGGAGGGAGGATTCTTTCTCTCTCTCTCTCTCTCTCTCTCTTTATTCTTGTGAAGAGAGAGCATTTAAAGAGAAGAAAAGAGAGTACGTACACATGCAGATTTTGTGACTTGACTATTGGGTCAGAGATTCAGAGAAGGGAAGATAGGAGTCGGTTGAGTTTAATTTGTTTATATAATAAATTTAGTTGTAATTCAATTACCATTCCTAATTGTGGGGTTTTGAATTGAATGAGTTTTTTCGTTGTCGTATTTGAGGATGAAAGTGTGTGTGAACAAAGGCAGTATTTTAGGATTTAATATTACCTGTGAAAGGGTCAGCTTCTTTTCCGTTTTAAAAGATTAGAGGGAATCAAAGTTTTGTCAGTTTGCGACTTTGCTCTTTTGCGAGGCCTATAGAATAGGATTCCCACTTCTTTTTTTCATTTTTTTTCTTTATTTATAAATAAAAATTTGATGATATATTTGAGTGAAAAAAAAACACTTGCATGTAGTAATAGTAATAGTAATAATCTGATTATATAAATATTTTTCATATTATTTTTAAATAAAATAATCAAATTGTAAATATGATAATGAAATCTACTTCTATCTGTTTTTTTGAATACTATTCACAGTCAAATATATTATTGAAATGTATCTGGTTTGGATTGATATGTAATAAGCTAATAGCAATCAGAATCGGATTGTTTGTAATGAATAATTTTTAGAAGTGATTATCTTACTAAGAAGTTGTTGCTTTGTATTCCAAAACCTTTTTCTGGCAAATTCATTAGTGTATTGTTAGGAGTTAAATCTAGATATCTTGACAGATAGGAACATGAATGAAAGGCTAATGAATGCCATTTTCTCTAACTTATTCGGCAAGCTAATAAAACACTTTTTTAAATCTTTTTTTGCATGTTTCTTTTCAATATTCATTTTTATCGCCCTTTACGCTTATCCCATTTATGTAATTTTAATTTTAATATTTGAGACGAGTATAAATAAAACAATAAGGACATGGATAATTCATATGGCTGATCCTAACAATATTAGAATTGAAGTGTAGTAAGAATTGTTGTTAGTCGCATTTAAGTTTCATGCCTATAATGGTGAATCGTGCCTCCAAAGATTACGAGTTATGATCCACACGGTTTGATTTTAAATAAATTAATATTCAGATTCAGAAATCATCTGTATAAATGAATCACTAAATTTACAAGGTCAACAATGAATTTTTAGGTGTTCCGATTTTGTTCCTTTCATAATAATCGCGGTCCGATTAATAATGCTGACTAGCCATTCATAGTTTGTTATTTTCTAATCAATAGAAAATGTTAATAAATGTGAGATTAAAAAGTATGCGATTTTAATCTGGTTATTTAAGTTTTTTCGCGCATGACTTCTCGTTTATTAATTTGCTTGTCTTCTTTCCTGAAAGGAAAAAAATAATCTTCCTACGTTCTCAATAGATTAATATGAAAAAAATGCAGTGTAATAAATTAATAAATAATGTTTACATTTGATTGGATTTGACCTACCCTGTGTAATTGTTCATTTTACATTATTATCTCATGAAGTATATAAAGGATATGGACCCTATCGTTTATGGCTGTTAATGTCTCGTCGTTATAAGAAAAGTAAAGAAAAAAACGGGTCTATTTAGCACACCTATATTAATTGTCATTATAGGAAAGGTTCATTTTTTTATTTTTATGTGCCAAATGTCATGACTTTTTAGTGGGAAGTTGAAGTTTTGCTTTCCCATATTTGTCAAGCTGTTTGGCACTGCTTGAGTTAGACATAATTGATGATGAAACCTATTTTTGTTATATGTCGCTAATATTTTTATTTGGCACAACTTTTTTGACTAAGTTTCAAGTTTTGTTATCAAGTTTCAAGTACGTAATAATAACGATTACATCTTAACCCTTTGGTCAAATGTTAATGATATGAAATTTTCAGACGAGAAAAAGAACACACCTTTAATTTTGCCAATCTTATCTGAAGGATAAATTGATCAAATTACATACTCACTTATCTAACCTGAAAAAAGTATTAGTAAAAGTTCACGCCAAACTAAACATAAAGGATGTATTATGTATCTTAAAAATTGTGAAAGTGATAACTTTAAGATAAAGGATGAGAATAGTTGGAGAGGCATAGAGAACACATGAATAAAGGAATTGAATTGCTATAGCCTCTTTTTTTTTGTTAGGATTAAGAAATTTGTTCATGATTCATCAATTTCTTGCTTCTTACCCTCCTTAAATTAAATGTATCATGCACATTCATACGCTTAACCTATCTCCTTTCATTTTCAAATGTTATTTCCTAAGAGTCACTTTTGGAAATCGTATTAAATATCATATTGGATAATTTATCATGTATTCCGTCTCCTTTTAATTGGCTCTTTTATATAAAATATAAGCAACGAGTTGAAGGCTAGCTCTTGATGAGCTCATGTTTCATCGGTTAAGGGGAGGGTTCAAACTCCATTAGTAACGTAATATCCTCTTTCCCCTCCCTCTCTCTCCCTTGATGTAATAATAAATAACGATCCGACATTATTAGGACTCTAGGAGTACATCAAATTTCATATTATTATTTTATAGCAAGGAAAACTTATAGTACAATCAGGGGCGGAGCTAGCCCATTGAGTATGTGTTCGGTTGAATCCAGTCACTTTGGTCCAATCTATATATTTGTTTTAAAAAATCTATTAAATATGTATACATTATTAATTTAAAACTCAGTAACTTGAAAGGATTAGAACCCCGAACCCATAAACTTTAAATTCTGATTCCGCCTCTAAGTACAATGATATGGATTCAAATTCAAGCTTGAAGTTGAAAAACGAAGAAGTTGATTTGATCTAGTTGCAAGCCAAATATGGTTGTTGTATTAGTTCAATTTTAGTAGGATCATGATACTAAACAATTAAGATAATCCATATGTTATTTAGTTTTAGTTAATATTTCATGTATTATTAATCTCCGTGCTTATCTATTAGAGTGTTAGGAAAAGTACATTTTCTTACCTAAAACTACTACTAGCTAGTAGCCCAAATACCAATTTTAATTTCTGCCAATGCTCGACCACTCTAAACTTCTTTAGGATCGTGTAATAATTCAGGGGATTAAGAATCGGATTTCTGCCCAAAAACAAAAAGATGGCTGGATTGCTTTTGTTTACCGGAAAAATAGGATAACGTTAGATTTGTGGATGGTTCTAAGGATATGCGATACAATTTGATATAAATCGCGTAGAGAAATGGAAATATGTGTATTGTTGACTGTAAGAACGAAAATAATAAGCAAAAAGAATGAATAAGTAAAACAAGTACGAGTGGATAACTATCAATATAAGAAATGAGCTTCTTCTTTTTTTCTTCTAGCTTACAAGGATTCCCTCTTTTATAAAAGAGGGTCATTAACAAAATACAATAAAATAAAATACGTAGTGGAAGACCCATGATGACTTGTCTCTTCCTTGATTCCTGCCAAGATTCTCTCTCTTGGTGTGGTTGCAACGGCTCTTGTCTGTGAGCTCGATATTAGCTCGAACTCGTTACCGGGTCGGGCCCTTCGGTTTTGGATCGAGTTCGACCTTCGAGATGGGCGTCGCGCATTTCCGACCTCGAAGCAGTACCTAGCGGATCGATTTGGTCACGGGCTCGATAGGATTACCGAGCCGCGCTCCTCGAGCGACCTTCGAGCTCGAGGTTCGTTAGTACCAACCTCAGAGCTCACTCCCAAAATCTCATTCTGACTTCTTAACACTCGAACTCGATCGAACGTAGGAAGGCCGAAATCTATTTCGACTGTATACAGATAGTCCCCTCGTTTCTCGAAAAAGTATGTGGCGAGAAACGATATGATTTCCCAGCAGCTCGATCAGATATACACTGATGTTTTTATCGATCCCGACCATGACGTATGTAATGCTCGATCATCTTATGCATCTTTATAGTCCCCGACTTCATCGAGGATACCCGAATTTTTTCTTTCCCGGTGGGAATTGTCAGTTACCTTCGGTCCTTGGTGACCGGAGAAGATCAATCAGTGATGAATGAGGAGGGGCTTCCTGTCTTTTCAACGAGGCCCAACATGCTTTGAATCGGATAACTTCTGATGGCGTTTTCGCCGCTTCTGTACAAAAATTTTGTAAATACAAATCTTTCATCTTTTTTTTTTTGAAGAGAAATGGCCTTTCAAACTAAATAAACAGTTTGAATTTAAATCTATGTTGCCTTCGGGCCTCGTGGGTAGTCCCCTTTGTTTTATCGGGCTCGAGCGTCCTTCAGCTTAAATAGTCAAGTATTTGTTTTAATTCGAAGAAATCAGTAGTTTTGCTTGAACTAATATAGCCCGTAGGCATAATAGTCGAGCGAGTGATGGCCCGAACTCGAAATAAAGGTAGCCTGTAGGCTTAGCAATTGAATGAATGATTCGAACTCGATGCAATGTAGCCCGTAGGCGTAATAGTCAAAGTAGCTCGTAGGCTTAATAGTCGAGTGAGTGATTGCTCAAACTCGAAATAAGGGTAGCCCGTAGGCTTGGCAATCGAGTGAATGATTCGAACTCGATGCAATGTAGCTCGTAGGCATAATAGTCAAAGTAGCCCGTAGGCTTTAATGGTTGAGTGAGTGATTGCTCGAACTCGAAATAAAGGTAGCCCGTAGGCTTGGCAATCGAGTGAATGATTCGAACTCGATGCAATGTAGCCCGTAGGCGTAATAGTTAAAGTAGCCCGTAGGCTTAATGGTCGAGTGAGTGATTGCTCGAACTCAAAATAAAGGTAGCCCGTAGGCTTGGCAATCGAGTGAATGATTCGAACTCGATGCAATGTAGCCCGTAGGCGTAATAGTTAAAGTAGCCCGTAGGCTTAATGGTCGAGTGAGTGATTGCTCGAACTCGAAATAAAGGTAGCCCGTAGGCTTGGCAGTCGATCGAATAATTCGGACTANTCGAAATAAAGGTAGCCCGTAGGCTTGGCAATCGAGTGAATGATTCGAACCCGATGCAATGTAGCCCGTAGGCGTAATAGTCAAAGTAGTACGTAGGCTTAATAGTCGAGTGAGTGATTGCTCGAACTCGAAATAAAGGCAGTCTGTAGGCTTGGCAATCGAGTGAATAATTCGAACTCGATGCAATGTAGC